GCCCCCCCCCAAATCAAGGAATGCAGTCTCCCTGGCCTTCAGGGAAAGTCATTCTGTTCAGGACTGGAGTCTTGAGCAGGAGCAACAGAAATATAAGCCCTCAGCAGCAACCTGTATATTCTTATTTTCAAGACTAAAAACAGTAGGAGACAATTTTGGAGGCCCACATTTTGTCCTGGAGTTGCTAATTTTGTTGCAGAGACACTGCTCTGAGAGATCCTGAGATGTATCAGTCTGTGTGAGGGCTAAACTCACACGTGATGTTGTGTACGAGTAGAGTGGTGAAAGGGTCTGTTTGGGTTTTGTTTCTGCTTCATTTATATCTAATGACTCTTTACCACCACCAAATGTTACCTGCCACCTACATCACTTTCTCTGTTGTCTAGTATTCATCAAGAAAGAAAATGCTGACAAGTTCCTGGAAAGAAGAAAACGTGCTAACTCTTTTTTGGAGGAATGGAAGAAAGGAAATATTGAAAGAGAGTGCAATGAGGAGCGCTGCTCAAAAGAAGAAGCTAGAGAAGCCTTTGAAGACCAGGAAAAAACTGTAAGGATGAACTAATATGAAACACAGATCTATATATTTCATGTTTACAAAATACTATTAAGATCTTTTGAGCTGGGCATCAAAACTCACAAGTTACTTCAAATCACTTAACACAAAGAATAAATAGTGGTTTTGACTGTGGTTGGAATTGCTAGAGCATAAACATACAATAACAGTCTTAATTTCACTCTTGCAAGGCCAGCCCCGGCTAAAGCCTCCAGTCTTTTACCTGTTCTGATCTGTTCAGTTGCCATTGGGAGGTATTTGACCTTTAAATGATTTGATACTACCCGTGCTAGGAATACGTTCACTCTATCTGGGTGACATAGCTGAGTGTCGTGACTATGGTCAAGAGTTCTTAGGTGGAGAGTCCACGGGAAGGTTGAGAAGGCAAATGCTGACACGGAATTTCATGGGAGAATTTTGATGAAGTAATCTCAAGCAGCTTTGAGGTGCTTATAATTTTGTGGTTCACCTTTTCATTATGTGAATTGACAGAATGTATACAGTTCTTAATGTCTTAATGCTAAATTGCCCACATGGAATGAAGTTTGTATGCGTGACTCTTGTGTCACCTTCCCTACCCTGATGGCTGCTTAACTTTAGACAGAAATATGATACGTTCCCAAGCTCAAGGGAGAGTTGTAGAGATGGGGCAGCTATGGGAACTGGGGTGAGTAGAAAAGGTGATGTTTGAAAACCTGAAGTGACTTCGTGGTGAAGGGGAATTGGGAACATCAGCCGTAGATATGTGGCTCTTAAGAAAAGCCCTGAAACTGGAGTTAAGGCCAGATTCGTTTCACTATAGCATTACTTGCTGTCCAGGATGTTCTTGGAGTGGCCCTGAGGTGACCTGGGTGGGGAGTCATGGGTGCATCGGCAGGGTACTTCAGAGCAGAAAGGTTGGCTTATCTATAGCTGAACAGCACAGCCTGTTCTGCCTGCTGACCAGATGTGACTGAAAAGGACTGTCTTGGACAGACAACATACCTGGAGTCCTCAGTGTAGAGGGAAAGAAGAACACAAATCGGACAAAATATTTTAAAATCTTAGGATTTCTAAGGTCCTGATTCATGGGGGTATGGAGAAGGGGAGGGAGACTGAGAATTCGGCATTGCAGGAATGTGAGTAAAGTCAGTCAGAACTGATGGAAAGATGCAGTTATGCAAGAAAGCCAAGTACCTTATGCTGAGTGGGTCACATTAGGAAATCTCTAAGGAGTTTTAGATATTTCTGAAAAGTGCGTGAGACTTGTTTCTGTAGAGCTGGGCACTGTAGATGGATCATATTGTTTTAATTTATTTAATGGTAATAGCAGGCTGCAAGGCACTGTATGTGCCTTAACTTAAGTATTTGCTTTAACCATTGTTATCTGCAAGTATCCTCTGTATGAAAGCACCAATATTTGTCTGAAGAATCCAGTAATTCTCACCTAACTCTTTTTGTCTCCTTTTATTCCCCTTTTTCCCACACCTTCCTATAGGAGGAATTCTGGAACGTCTATGTAGGTAAGAAGCACTCTGCATTTGTACAGAGAATTCAGCTTCCTTATTGCAAGGTTAAAAAGGATGCACCTCTTAAGTAACCAGTTCCTGCTCCCTTCCTTCCTTCCTCTCTTTTCACCATGGGACACCCGCACTTTGTGTTTCCTCTGATGAAGGAATCTGATTTACCGCTTTGCTGTTGCTTGAGCCCAGTTGCTTCATTCAAAGGCAAGGTTCAGCTCCTTCCACTTTGTCCTCTGAAACAAAAAAAGAATAGTGTCCCTTTGCACACAGAGGACAGTGAGAAGCAGAAACTGGGCATGTGACTCTGCTGGTCAGTTGTCTTCCAGAGGGCAGCCCTGGATGGAGTAATTCAAGATGCAAAGAGTCATAGATGAGTGTGGCACTTAAATGCTGTAGCCAGCACAGAGTTATTAAACTGTATTGCACAGTCACTTGCCAGTTTCGTGTCACCTTCCATGCCAGTGTTGTTGATTTCTGTGTTATAAGGCATTTTGTGGGGTGTGGTTTGGACAGAACTGTGTGGCATTCCAGGAAGACATGCCAGTAGATTAGCAGATACTACCCATCAATCTTTTCTGTTTTTTTTCTAAAGGTCTGATTTGTATTTATTAGGGTTCTAGTGTTCATAATCACTATGATTTTTAATGCATTAGTGTTTGGTAATGTTCTCTCCTGAAAGTATGTGTCCAGTTTGCATGTTAGGAGGAGTACCTCAAAAATGTTGACTAAAGACAGCTCAGCTTTGTCTTTTAGAGTCTGCAGAAAGTTGAGACAGTTGCCACAAAGAAGATGCAGACTTTCACAATCCTCTAAGCAGGGGATGAACTGTGCAACCTACAGGCTGAAATTTCAAGCAAATCCTGCGTCAGCGTTGCAGTGAACAGGAGTGGAAAATTTCAGACCATTCTCTCATGAGAATACAAGCAGCAGAACATCAGTGCCAGTGCTTTTAGTGGAAATGCCAATTTCATACATTTTAAACCGCAATCCACAAATGCTTTATTGGTATTCAGAAGTGTTGAAAACCACAGCTACCCTCAGCCAAGTTACTAGAACAGTTCATTCTTGCTTCCTTTTTCAGTAGGGGATTCTGAAATGCTTTTGTGCAGTATTCATAGAAAACTCATTACCACAGCGGCACTACAGTCTAGGGGAAAACTAAGCAAGTACAGTTTCTAACAGCTGCTTTGCTAAGACCACTGTGGAATGGAGTGCTCTGGCACTGCAGAGGAGGCAGAAATGAGGAACTTGTGCTGCTGCTTGCCTCAAATCTGCCTTTCTTTCAGTAAATGGTGGTCTCACCTTCCATCTGTTGAGGATGGGCATCGGTCTTCAGTGCCTCTGCGGTGGGCCACATAGACACAGCATTTGAAGCACTGTTTGTTTTGGCCATGTGCAGGTACAGAAGGGATGTTGAGGTGCGAGGGCAGTACACAATGCAGATGTACCCTGTGGCAGATAAAGCTGCAGCAGATGAGGTCACAGGCCAGAGCCACCTTGCAGGTGGCAAGCTGCATCCTTAGGATGAGCAGCTTTTTGCATCTTTTCCCCTCTGTGGGCACTGTTGTTCTTCCAGCTGCTCCAAACAGGGGCAGGACAAGTGGTAAAACACAGTAATTTAAGGAGCATGTTATCTAAAGTAACAAATTATTAAGCAAGTGTTTCTTCTCTGGATATCCTGCTTTTCTTACTGAACAGTGCAGAAGAGCCCAGCAGGGTCATATGATGGGGGAACACATTTGTTGCATAGGTCACTAGATGTGAGAGACCGTGGCAGGGAGCATCAGTGCAGGAGTGAGATACCTTTGTAGGGGTGGGAGAAAGGGCTACTATGTGGAACATGCCTTCAAACGCAGTGCAGCCTCACCGTCCTACATGTAACTGAGTTTGTGGGATACATGTGGCTGGGGCCCTGGAATTAGGTCAGTCAGTTGTGTCCAGGTCACAGAAAGGATGCAGTGCTACCTTTCAAATGTGGGAGATCCAGGTGTAGATATGGGAGCGTAAGGTAAGAACTAATTTTTTGAAGCTCAAGCTCATACTTCAACAAATACAATGAGACAATTTGGTACTGTAAGCAGCATAAAGCAAGAATTTGGCCTGCACACATGAATTTAGCAGGGCTTTGTAAAGCTTGTTTTGTTTTGGTTTGGTTTTTTTATCTTCTGATGAATATGCTAGTGTCTGTTTCTTTAAATGAGCAGCACTGCAGGCAAAGGACATGCACAAGGAATGAGATGACCTTTAAATAAGTAAAAGTT